ACGCCTTCTCCGCCAAAGGTCCCCATTCCAACTTATCCTTGCATGTTAATCGAGTGAGAGGAGCAGCAACTTGAGAATAATTCTTGATGAAGATCCGATAGAAGTTAGCAAAACTAAGAAAGCATTGTACGTCTCTAACCGTCTTCGAAACCTCCCAAGACATGATTGCTTCTACTTTCTTGGGGTCCATCTTCAAACCTTCTGTAGTCGTAATGAACCCCAAAAATTCCATCTCCGTCTGGTGAAATAAACACTTTTCTAATTTGGCATATAGTCCTCGCTTGCGTAGTTTCTCCAAGACCAAACGAACATGCTCCTCATGCTCTTCCTCGTTTTTAGAGAATATTAGAATATCGTCCAAGTAGATGACAACAAAATCGTCGAGGTGTTCTCAAAAGATGTCATTCATCATATGTTGGAAAACCGCTGGAGCATTGGTAAGACCAAAAGGCATGACATTATATTCGAAATGACCATACCTTGTACGGAATGCTGTCTTCCACTCATCTCCTTCCTTGATTCGTACGAGATTATAAGCTCCCCTTAGATCAATTTTTGTAAAGATCTTCGCACGTCCAAGTTGTTCTAAGAGACTAGAAATCAAGGGTAATGGATAACGATTTTTCTTTGTTACCTTGTTGAGGCCTCGATAATCCACACACATCCGTAATGATCCATCTTTCTTCTTCATAAATAAGATGGGTGCTCCAGCTGATGATTTTGAATGACGAATGAAGTTCTTGGCTAGATTTTTGTCGATGTACTTTCGTAACTCTGCCAATACCGTTTGCGATAGATTGTAGATTGGGCCAAAAGGTGGTTGTGCTCCTTCTTGCAAGTCTATGGCACAATCATATGGTCGGTGTTCCGGTAGTATGTCGGCGTTCTTCTTTTGAAACACGTCTACAAAATCTTTATATTGCTCCGGTATACTTGCTGTTGAGATCTTCTCCTCGGTAGTTGGAGCTGCATAAATGACAAATGGAGTGCCTTCCTTAGATGATCTTAAAAACGCTCTTGCTCCAATGAATAAGGATTTCTTTTTTCGAGGTTTTTTACTAGGTTTTTTCTTGGGTGGTTTTGTGGAAAAAGTCATCTTCCGCAACCTCCAATCTATCAATGGATTATGTTTTTCCAACCAAGAAAGACCAAGAACAATAGGATTTGATGGGGTTCTAATAATATTAAAAATAATATGACTACTATGGTCTTTAAACGTTACTTCAATAGGTTTTGATTCATGGGTGATGCTATTAGACAATAAAGGTCGTCCATCTATGACCTCAACATGAACAGGTTTTGATTTTTGTACTAAAGGGATCTTATGACGCTTTGCAAATTCTTCGTCTAAAAAACAAGCAGATGCTCCTGAGTCTAGTAGTGCTAAGGTTCTCAGTTTTTGAGGGCCGATAAACAGAGGGATTGTAAAACAAAGTGCAGGTTGGGCAGAAAGAAAGGAACCTGATTGTTGTTGGGATATTTCATTGTCCAGCCGCACGGTTCCTACTATGGCTGGGCATCCTCGTTTTCCTGAACAAATACTCCCCTAGTCTTGACTATGCCTCGATTTTGCTTTTTGGGGCAGTTTCCGACTTTGTAGCCTTCTCCACCGCAATACAAGCATAAATTTTCCTCCATACGTCACTTTTTTTCTTCTATAGTAAGAGATTTGATACGTACCGCATCAATTTGCATGTCTTCCACCTCTGAATGCGAATTCACACCGCTTGCCGATATAGTTGGAGCATGGTGAATTGTATGTTGTCTTGAGCGTTGGTCTTGGCGACGTTGGAATAGGCGATTATCGTACTTCACATCTTGGCTAATGGCTTCATTGAGCGTTCATGGATCAGGAAGAGTTAACAGCAAATCCTTCACATCATCTCTTAAACCCCAATAGAATTGACTCATCAACGCTTCTTCATCCCAATTGATGTCGCATACTAATTGCCTGAAATTCGAAGCATAGACTGATGTAGAACGCATCCCTTGTCATAGCGATCGGATCTTTGTTGTAGCCCATTGAACCTTATCGTGTTCACCAAATGCTTCCGCAAATGCTTCCAAAAAGGTTTCGAAGTTGTTTAATATGGATGATCGTTTCTCAAACAAAGGAGCAAACCATGATAGAGCTTGTCCCGTAAGTAAGGTTCCAACAAGCCCAACACGTGACTCCTCCATTGGATATCGTTCGGGCTGTAAAACTGTTATCAACCTGATTTGATTGACGAATCCTCGAAACTTGGAACGTGTTCCATCAAACTTATCTGGAAGGCTAACTCGAGGCTCCTTATGTTGTAGAACTAGTGGTTCTTGTCGAACCTGAGGTAAAGTTGTTTCTCCAAGTGCTGAAATTTGAGGCTGGTGTAGTTTAGATTGTGCTATCCCAGATACTCCATCATTATGAAGCCTTGCCACCACTCCTTCAATCTCTGCAATTCTTTGTGATAACATAGCGAGGGCATTCATAATAGTATCTAACTTAGACTCCGAACTTTCTGTCATACTAATGTCTTGACCTCCGGCCATTCTAAAAGAAGGACAAAAATGACCCTATAAGAGGCAATATTGGTTTATAGGAGGGTAATCCACAACCTATAAAACGCCTTAAAAATTTCAAGAAGAGGGGTAATCCACTCTCTCCAAGAAGAATAAGACTCCAATATTGTAACAAAAAAGTATCAGTTTAGAGGAGGGTAATCCGCAACCTCTAAAAAATGCTAGTATACCTTCAAGTAGAGGGGTAATCCACACTCTACTAAGAAAGAACTAGCTCTGATATCTCAAGTTAGTGTAGTCTCGACAAACTATCATGGACACAAAATACAGACTTGAAATCTAACAAGAAGTTGAAGAAGAAGTGGCAGAACTAGATTAAACAGATGAGTACAAGAACAACACCAGAAAGGTGAGCTAGAACTCCAAGAGATGTATTATCGAGACTGAAGAACTCTTCAACCTCAATCCCTATATATACTCCTACTTAGGAAGCTTCTTGAGCTACTTCTATTAACTAGGAAGCTTCTAGAAGGTTCCAGAGGCTTCCTTTCTAGAAGGTTCTAGAAACTTCTCAAGCTACTTCTATTAACTAGGAAGCTTCTAGAAAGTTCCAGGGGATTCCTTTCTAGAAGCTTCTAGAAACTTCTCTTCTAGAAGGTTCCAGAGACTTCCTTTCTAGAAGCTTCTAGAAACTTCTCTCTAAAAGGTTCCAGAGGCTTCTCTTCTAGAAGGTTCCAGAGGCTTATTTTCTAGAAGGTTCTAGAAACTTCTCTCTAGAAAGTTCTAAGGAATATGTCCCTAACATATACTTGAATGTTAACTAATACTTATATATATATATATATATATATATATATATATATATATATATTTAAATACCTAATATAGTAAGCATTATTTACTATTTTATCTACAAAGCCCGAGCAAATAACACCAATGATTCTTTTTTATAAAGCCTAAGCAAATACCAACCACAATCTTTTAAAATAGCTATAGAGGTTTATATTACAAATAAATCATATGGATTAAGAATATTATATAAAAAAAATTACTAATCCAATTTATTTCTATACACACTATCTATGTATTTAAATTAAAATAGAGTATTTTTTAAATTTTTTGATGTAAGATTAGTATAAAATTTATAAAAGTATAAAATAAATTTTATGATCTTTTTGTATGAATTTGTTTTTTATATGTAAAAAATTATAAAATTGGAATGTTTAAATAATAATTTTAGTATTAATTATTTATTTTAGTTTTTATGTTTTATATATATATTTCTTATCAAAAACATACCTTAGTTATTTTTTACCTCTCAATTAATATTTCGTGCTTATCTAATAATATTTGTTAAAACAAAGGTTGTTTCTAATTTATAAATTTATATTACTTAATTCATATTTTTTACATAATTTATAACATTTATATCTACAAAAGTTATAAAATAAATAAGATACCTTACTAAATAATTTTAGTATATTAAATTTCGTTAAATTAAATAGATTTGATATATAACGAAAAATAATTTAATTTATCTATTTCAAAAAAGTATTTATGACATTCATCTATCTCCAAATTAATAAATTAATAAAATGCTATAAAAATTTGTAATCACTCTAAAATGTGCTTTAAAATATTTCCTTATCAAATTCTAATCACAATTTTTAATACATATATTTCATTAATCTAAGCTTAAGAGTGTGACAATTAAATATTCTTAAAAAATTTCAAGTACTTAGCATATTTCTTTTAAATCCTTTAAATCTTCTATTCTTTATTTTGAGACATTCTCACCAATCTTTAATTTTTCTACATTGAGAATCAGTTTTTTTGGACTACACAATTTAGCCTACTCACTCATTTCTACACATTTTATTTTGCCAACATGACGCTTCCAAAATAACTCTATCACAACTTCAAACCGTTACATCTATCAAAATTGACATCACCAGTTCAATACAAAACTATAAAAGCTGTGTTTCTCACATCTAAACTTCAATCGCATTCATGCTTCAATGTACGTCTCGACCGCCTTTCTTCCAATCCATGCGCCGCCGTCGAACCGATCGGTGGCTGCAGATTATACAATGCAAAAATCGTGTGTATATCGATGCTTCGGCAGCCTGCAAATCGATCTACAAACTAGAACAAAATTAAGGTAGCTGCAATGAGTGCAGTTTTAATGCTGGGTGCCCACATGAAGAACATAACGCCAACGTCGCCGCACACTTGGCGCGTGTTGGTAGATCCAACAACACGGATGTCCGTGTTTGGCCGTGGAGAGTGAATTGGCGTGATATGGTGATCAGGAAGCGCAGCAACAGTGGGCTTGGATATGGAGTGCTGAGCATATCGGAGCACCTCTGCTGATATCGATCACCATCGTCGCCGCACGGACGAGTTTGATGCGGAGTAGAGGTCGACAATTCAACGGTTGTGTGGATACAGCGGATCAGAAAAAAAAAAAAAAAAAAAAAAAAAAAAAATCTAACACAATACAAAAAAAAAACACGAGAAGAATTTATGCTGGTTTGTACATAATCTAGCCAGTTCATCGGAACATAGCGTCCGAAGAAATCATCAGGAATAGTACTGAAAATCTAGCTTGGAAAGCAGGATGCATTTCGCATCATCGCTCGCTACTGCTGGTGTCCTTCGCCTTCTATTGTCAGGCTACTGAAGTACTTCGTTGGTCGATCTCACCTCTAACCTGCCGCCCATTCTGAGGACTGGAACAACTATGGTTGGATCAGCTTAGAACCGAAGAACGCAAAACGCAACCACAGCTACAGCTCCGACGAAGCTCAAGCACTGGTGGATTGAAACGGCAGCAGATGGCGGAGGGGGTGGCAACTCCGGTCCGGGGGCAATGGAGGAGCCAGGAGTTGGTGCTGTAGAAGGATTCTCAGAGGGTGTTGGCGCGTCAGTGGGTGAAGGAACAGGAGCCAAAGCTGGCCCTGGCGTGGGTGCCTTGATAACCGGAGCTGGAGCTGGGGCTTTAACGACGGGAGCCGGCACAGGAGCCACAAGGGGTGCACGAGTAGGAGCCCTCACTGGGGGTGTCACGGGAGGAGTAACAGGAGCGACAACTGGAGGCACACCACCAGCAGCTTTCACCGTAATTTTCATCTTCATGCCCATGTCACAGTGAGAAGGGAAGCTGCAGACGAAATAATAAGTACCAGGCGTGGGGAGTGAGACACTGTCCCCTCCGGATAGATACTTCTTGCCGGTGCTCATTGAACAGGCATTGTACTCTGTCGCACTTACGACTTGCACATCATGTGCACCAGGAGTGTATGAGAATACTGCGACAATGGACGAGAGAAGATCAGGGTACTTTCATTACTCAGGATTTATCAGAGTGTAAGGGACCACCTTGAGCAACAACGAAGTAAAAAAAAGGAGGGAAGGTTGAGAGGTACTTACCTAGGTTGTCCCCTGCCGTGAACGTCTCCTTCGATGCCCAAGTGTCGTAGTAAGCCGCATCTGAAGGCGGTGCGTAGTCCCAACCCCGGGTTCCCCCTACATTGATATCCTTAGCCGCTACTGCATGCACGGCCGCAAGTAACCCTACCGCAACTATAAAAATCCTCGCGCTGCTTCTTTCCTGGGCCATCTTGGGTTACGAACACCCAAGGGCAACACTTTCACGGTGGGTTGATTCGACCTGCTGCAAAAAAATTACAGATGTTAGAATTATTCAACCCCCAATTTGTAGTAAACTGTTACGATCCTGCAATGGGTTTTAAAAAAAAAGAAATTAAAATTAAAACATAAACCTGTGCTAAAAGTGTTGCACATTCCGCGAGATATCTGTTTAATTCGATGAGGGTTGTGCAAACGAGGAACCATGGCATGATAACAGCATCCCAACGCCACAGTGTCGACATTTGTACAAATTGGCTATGGCAGAATAAAAACAGCTGAGACTCCTTGACTGTACTCTGTAAGACATAGCGGGGTGCAAGAGTGACGACATTCATCAAATAACAATTTCAAGCCTGCAATATCTGGCTGTTCCAGAAAAGATCTCGATTGCAAATGATTCTTGGTAAGATGTAACTGACTTACGAAACATGCAAGGATAATCAACTCGAGAAAGCTATTTGTTAGCTAAGAGTTATGTTCTCTAGTTTACTCGGTACTGAGATCAAGGGACAAGATTCGGCAAATCCCACATTACAAACTAGAAGCTATGTTTTGTCCTGCAGAAGGATGCCAGGATACAGCCTTCGATTCCTATGGTTGCAAGTGCTACTCAGTGAGTGAAAGTGTGTGTGTGTGCGCGTGCCAGCCAATGACACGAAAACACTCCATTACAGTCACCGACGGGGGAGATACACAGGAAACTCAACCTTAGTATGGAAAATGGAAACCCAAAGCACCATAGCTGAAGTATACCTCAGCGTGGTCAAACTGCTTCCGGTTGTATCGATCGAAGTGCAGCCTAGAAATCGGACACCTCAATACAAAACGGCACTTATCCACCCTCTTCTAAGTATGAAGCACCTTTTCTCCCAACAACCAAATCTGAAAGTATCAGACTTACTCTGTCTGCCTATCGGTCTGTCTGTCTGTCTCTCTCTCACACACAAACACACTCACACACGAACAAGCGATGCTCCACAGAATACGATCTCTACGAATAGCTCCTACCGAATTGAAACCCTTTATAAATGAAGCCGGTTCCAAAAGTAGATAGACGAACGATCACAACTCTGAGACTTCCTCACTTATTGAACAGCTGATTGTCGCATTGCAACACTCCACCAATCTGTCAAAACGGCAGCACCGCGAATCAACCTTCACGAAACGAACAAACTGGGAGCAGCAAAATGCAGAGTTAGGCCGGGACCTCAGTCAGCAGATGCGCAGTCCAGCTGCTCCGGAATGTGGGCAGCGCAAGGCGATGATCCTGAGAAGCTTCAGATACAGAAATGCTCCTTTTTCAGGAACGCCGAAGCTTTGTACTTGAGCTCTCGCACAATTGAAAGAACCGACTGGGACGAGTGTGTCTTTAGGTTCAGTTTACCCCACATCACCAAAATAATAAGTAATTAAACGAAAACAAAAATATCGTCTTTGACAGAATGGGAGAAATGACTATCATGGTAAAGATGAATGTTTGATGAGGAATGATTATAAAATGAGAAAATTCAAACAAAAAATTAATCTACCTTTCTTCCCACCAAGCACTGTGTGAAAGCTCAAGAACACAATAATAATAATAATAATAATAACAACACAAATAAATAAATAAAGAAAACATTGAAACAAGCCCATCATCGAAATCTCTTCAGTGTTGTCAGATTTATTTATTTCTAATTTCCTACAGCCTCATCATACAACATCGAAACAAGATATTCCGAGTTTTTCACAATTTTCATATAACTTGCATCTTGAAAAAGTCGTGGACTTTACAGTTTGGAATATCGGGTATAATGTACGTGATTTCAAGCTTGATCTTTACAAATCAAATTGTGTGGAAATTGCGGCGTTGATTTACCCGTGGAGGTCAAGCGAGGTTGCGAGGAGGATTGCCTGGAAGCGAGAGGGAGACGATGATGAAGCCATCTGACAGCGGGTGTTGTCCAGAGGAAGGCGTCGAAACCACCGCGCTACGTCCAGGTTGCCAGTGGGCCAAGCAAGTCAGTCATCGTCAGGCAGTGTCAAGCTCCGTGGGACCGGAGCTGTCGACCGCTTCCCATCCCCGGATTCTACCGCGAGGAATTTGGTACGCCACCCTCTTTTCACTTGTCGATACGATGATTACTTGTTACCACACCTTCCAAGCTCGGTTCAAAGAGTTGGATCGATCTGCTGCAGCAGCGTCGATTGCACTCATCTGTAACGCCAGAAAGCCTAATCCGTGGTCCGACTGCTCATCGCACCTGCAGGCACTCTTGGACTTTCCAATCAATTCGCTGCTTTTCCTCAGTCGATCAGCAGTGCCGATCGTTGGACTCCCCTCGACGCGAACTAACCACATCCAGCGTCGTCGTCGTCGTCGGCACCTGAAGTTATTGGGAACAAAACGTACATGTGCTATATGCTGCCCGATTCCAACCATGCCCCATCTCCAGGAGAATAGAACCAAAATTTTCCACATAAAAGATATGGTGAGGGAAATCCATTTCTCCAAAATCTCTTCAGTGGACACTTGTAGAAACAAGCAAAATGGAGTGATGAAGAATGGCGGTTAAAATCTCTCTCTCTTATCATTCATGGAGAAGTCTGTTGCTACCTTTGTTCATCACCCATCAGCCGCGTATGATGGAAGCGATCTGCTGATCGATTACTAGCATTGTAGTGCTCGATCTTTCGTCGGCTAGAAGCAAATGTGATTATGAAAGTAATCTGATCACCAAACTTAGGGATCAAGCAGTTGATGTGGGTGATATCTGAGTTTACAGTGGCAGCCTGACAATGGTCCCACCAATTAATCGACATGAGCGCAGGACGTCAGGAGAGATCGCCGGTTTATTCTTCATTCCAGTTGGACACACGAGGCTATGTCCGGAAATTCCACGTAGTCAACATCTAGACTCCCACCCTTGTCCCTTCAAATACAGTGAGAAAACACAAATACTAATGTTTATGGAAGAAATACTAATGTTAATGCTAATCTCAGAAATTAAATATTCTCTACAACAATAAGACCCCAATATGCATACCACATGGGCATCATTTAATATATTTTTATTTTCAAAGTCATTAACTGGTATTTTCAGACGGAAAAATGATTGACGAATGTTACATGCATGAACAGATGGGCGTTGACGCTTTTGGCGAAGCTTGTGAATTGAAGTGAGATCAATTTAGAAACCTGGAAAAATAAATAAATAAATCCAGTTTACTAAACGTATATAAAATCACGAATCTATATGTGTATGTATGTGTGTGCGAAATGTTTTTTTTATTCGTTACTGTGTTTTAGAAAAGATGAAATGGGGTTTTACTTGGGAAGAACTTTTTCAGAAACTAGTCGTTGATGCTTTGAACCTGTTCTACGAAATTCGAGTTTCAACAATGACTCCATCTAGTCTCTTGTTTTCTTCGACTTCTTCGAGGTCGAATTATCCACACAAGTATTCTCCTTTACAAATAGATAATTGGACGGGTTCTCCCAATTTTCGTCAAAAATAAGAAAAAGAAAAAGAAAATGAAGCACGCGCGAAAGGAGAAAAGAGGTGGGAAGGGAAGGCGAGAATGGGACTGTGATATTTGAGGCCATGGCCCATTTATGATAGGCAACAACGGGGAGTTATTGTGAATATTATTGCTGTTAGTGTGAGGCTGGGCCTGCATTCAATTCAATCATCAATTCGTCCCCACCATTGCTTCCGGACCAGATAACAGTAGAAAAAACCAAATTAAAAGAACAAACACAACACCCACACCAATACTATCCGGCCCAGACGCCGCATCATTTTCATGCCACACGCCAAAAACCCATTCCCACTGCTTCTCTCCTTTTTACTGGCAATTGCGTGCTCTTTTCCGGATCATCACTCATTCATCACTCAGCACATCATTTAGTCAAAGAGCACACAACTGGCCCCCCCCCTCCCCCCATTCTAGTTTTCTGCAGATAAACAATCAGCTTTACGTTTGAACAACAACAGCCAGTCCCCCATAATCTCATGTATTCTAGTATAACATTGGGGGGGGGGGGGGGGTGTGGTGTGTGGAGGGAGGGGAAGCTGAAGCTGTGCGCTAGGAGCATCACCGTCAGCAGTCCTGAAAGCATGGCCCACTGTGGGCAGCGAAGCACTGGAGCCAGCTTCGAGAAAAGTGAATAAGCAATCAAGCAAGCAAACAAGGGGGAGGTAGGAGTGGTGGTGGTGGTAGAAATGGGCTGCTGCTCCATCTCATCTCATTCCATTCCATTATGTGAATGAGCCAGTGAGCCAGTGAGCCAGTGAGGGGGGAACGCTGTTGTTGTTGCTTTTCTGTTACTCCCAGGTGTGACTTTGGGGGTTCAGTCTCGGGTTGGGGGGTACTTGGGGTGGGTTAGTTCCGGGGAGGGGGGTTAGTGATGGGAGTCTAAGAGGTAGTGGGGTCCTGTGAGGCCAGTAGGGGAAGGGGGCTCTCACTGATTGATGAGGGGGGTTCTGACTGAAATGGAGCCAGACTTGGGCCCTACCAGTGTGAATGCGACAATCCGATACCAATCATCCCTGACGCGACCAATATTGATGGGAGTTTGGATGCAGAAAGAAAAAATGTGCACATCAAGACAATATAATGAAAATATAATCTCAAAAAAATATGTACAAAAAGCAAAAGAAAAAGAAAAAGAAAAAGTTGTGATGTTTTTTGTGATTTGATTATGGGATTCAATAAGAATTCCAACGAATTTACAATTTGATGATTGGTGATATTTTTGGCATTACTATATATCCATAAAAACTTCAATTATTCCTATTATATTTAATTTTTTCGAATTAGTGAAACAATGTTTCAATTGTGGGCATACTATTAGAATATGGAATGGAAATTTTTTCAGATAAAAAATAAAAATAAAAATAAATCATTTTTATTTTATTTTTTTATTTATACCTTAGTCACCTTCTATTTCAACAAATATGAATTTTCTTACTAAAAAGAATCCAAATAATAAATAAATACAACTAAGGAAATTATATTTATATAGAATTCACAAACTTTAGGTTAATTCTCTGGGTCCCCAAGTAATATATTCCTAGGATTATAATAATTTTCTAAGCAGTTGTATTCTCCAACAATTTCAAAGGTGGTATTTTATTTCATTGGATTTTCTATTTTCTATTTATTTTTTTATTAATTCTATTTTCTTTTGCACACTCTAATGAGTTTGAATTGGCTAAATTAGAATAAAAAGATAAATCATTCATATATGTGTGTATATATATAATTAATTAATAAAAGAAGTTGTTATTAATATATTATAGAGTATATTAAAATTTTTATTATCTAATTTATTTATTTTTTTATATATTTTACATGTCAAGAATATGCATCTAATATGTGATATGAAAAACCATAGCACTGCTTAAAAATATCAAAGTTCGAATGTGGATGTTATGGATTACATTTGAACAACCATATATGATCTTGCTTAAAATTGGTGATATTAAACAATCTCTTTAAAATGCCATATTATCTAATAATTTTTTAATTCTTTCTTGAATTAATTTTTATTATATATCAAATTTTAAAATATTTAAACTTTTTCTTATAAATGTATGATTTTTAAATATGAATTTATATGCAATATTAATTAGATGTTTTATACATGATTTTACATTATAATTTTTTAATAATATAATAAAAGATAGTTGATTATCTAACTTGGATTGATAAATAATAGGTTTCTTTTCAATATGTTGATAGAAAATTTTAATTAGTAAAAATAGTATTAGTACTTTTATTAATAATTATTTTGATAATACTACAATAAACCAAATTTTATACCACAAAACTTGATGTTATATTTCAAAATTACATATAACTTTTTAAAAAATTAATCTAACAAAAAATTATAATACCATCCATTTCAAAATATATTTGATCTTAAATTTTCAAAAATTAATGTAAAAATAATTACTTTATTTCAAGCAAAATATTTAAAATCATAATATTTAGAATACTCTAAAGACTATTTGGTATACATTTAATATACAAGTTCTATCTCTTATTTCATGTACAAAACTTAGTATAGATGGACTTTATATTTTGTTACTATCACACTTAAATAATATACAAATTTTTTGTATATGAATATTATTTTACAGAATAATTTTAAAAATTATGTAATAAAATCTTTAAATCATTAAAATACTTTTTATTAATCAAATCACAAAAAAATCTTATTAAACAAAAAAACATCTCTTTTATACAATTATATAGAGACCACCAGTAATTAAGATCTAATTTTTGGTGCATTAGTTGATTGCTTCTTTACATCTTTCTGTTGGTTTATGAAAATAATCAAGAGAGAAAAACCCCTCTTGCAATATTTATTAGAACCTTCTAAGAAGTATATATATATTTTTTTTCACATATAATAGAATTGCAAGATATACATTTTGTAAGAAAAGCCATCTAAAATTTCGCCTATAAGATAAAGTCCAATGGCTATCTATGTAAACTTGAGATTATAAAAATAATAGTATTCCTAGCATTTTATAACTACAAATAAGTCATTAAAAATATATATATCTTGAATTTTTTTATATACTAATTTGAATTTCTTATTTTATAATTATAAAATATTTTTTTGTTAAATTTTACAATTTTAAAATCTTGTGCTGTGAAAATGTAAAAATGAAGTTATTTATTATCTTCTAAGAAGTTCAAAACACTAATTCTAATAATATTTCTTATTTGTTTGTTTTCTAAAACAGATGAAAAAATTCCAAATAATATGCAATGTTTATGTACTATCTAATATATATATATATATATATATTTCTGCATTGCTAAACAAGTATATATTTCTGCATTGCTAAACTTCTATTCTACAATCATTCAAACAATCATGCAAAAATAATACACGTGAACATCAAATTTAAGCTTAATTTTGAAAGAATTCGAGTACCGCAGCTTATTATTGAGTATCCTCTTTTTCCATACCACATCATTTTGGTGGACAAAACACAAGACGATGCTCGTGTGCAAGGGCAACGGAAACCTGCAGTAGCATGATAACGGGACACAAATTATTAAAGCCCATCGACATGATCGATGCCCCAGAAAAAGCCAAAACCGACGAGGGCCAAGCGGGTGAATTCGGCGGAGAAGGGGCGTCGCGGCAACAGGAGCTTCCTACAATTCAACGGCGTGACTCCGAGTCTCCGTTGAATGCTTCTGCAACGGAGAAGCAGTCGGAACCTGAATGCGCCAGTGCTCTCACTCAAAAAATTCTACTTCCTGCTTCTTGTTGCCTTTCCGGCCAATTGCATAATTGCTGCACCGCTATTGTGAAACGACTTTTCGCCATCGCTAGATCGTGGACATCGGTTTCCAATCTAGTGCAGAACCTAGACCCAGTTCAACAGCACGCATGATTGACAATGGCTCTAGCACCTGCCGATGCATGATAGACCAGGGGGAGGTGGGGGGGGGGGATCGGTAGATGCATCGTTCACAATCTAGCAGATGCATCAACAGCTGTGACGACGGGGCCCAACGAACACCGCTGTCTTGACTTATTGCGACGGAAAAAGAAAGATTCCTGGAACGCATCAGTCGCGAGCAATTATCTGAACTCGATGCTGGAAAGAAAGTCTGGGCTTATCTTGAACGGCTGGAGTGGACAACAAAGGCACGCGATGAAGAATCATACCAACGAGCTAAGCAAGTTATTGATGCAAGGTCGGACTAAATCCATGTGAATCTGAAGAAGTACTTCAGGAAAGGTTTGTGGCAGGGGTCGGTTTCACTATGGACGGCCGCTGGGCGACAACTGCCGCTAAACACGCCTCATTGATCACGGTTGCGGGATTTGGGTCATGAGAGGATCCATTACAAGATTCGTATGAAGTTGGATAATTCGGGCGAGAGCCTTTTCACAGGAGGGGCACGCTGGCAGCATGCCACATATTTTCCTGAAAGAGTGTTTCTTGGAAGTGGGTGAATGGAAAGTGTGCCGCAATCATGAGCTCGTTTAATGTCGATGGATTGGTGGCGGGAAGATCGAGCTGGTGTTCTACATGACATGATTCGTGCAACTACCCCATTACCCTAGTTTGCGGTTTGCTGTTCCGTTCGCAGACAGATCATTTCTTCTTAGAGGAACTGGTAAACATCCAACAATAGCACGGCTTTCGTTTTAGTCCACTGCCGAGCTTCCAGTTGATCCCTTGCAGGATGGATTCTAAGATTATCTTCAATAATTTTGTTGACCGATTACCTTTTTCGGCGGAACCTCTGAAGGTGCTGCCTGTTTGTTTAGTTGCTAGAAGGTTTCGGCTCCTTCAGTGAGATTTGACGTTTGGCAAGCCCGATGGTGCAGGTTTTCTCGTGAGATGGGTCGAAGATCGCCATTTTTTTTTAATTTTTTATTCTTTTTTGTCTTTCTTGGAGGTCCCAGCAGATGTGAGATTGAGCTCTGTGATCTGATATCTCCTTGAACTATTCAGTTTGCTGTGAGAATCAGTGATGCCTCAGCCATCTGGCTTTCCAAATCCGGAGACATGGTCACCTCGCTTAACCCAAACGCCATGACCACGTTTCGCGTCCTGTGGGATAGTGGAAAGAGTGGTTCGGGTTGCGGAGGATGCTCTGCTACTGTAAGCTGCATCGTTGAATGTCTCTTCAGAAATAGCTTCACTGAGTACCTGCGAAATCGTTCAACTTCGCATGCTGGGGAGGGAGATGGATCGTGCAGAAAGAGCTGGAGAAATGCTTACAATGGTAAGTGATAACTGGACCTGCTGGAAAGTGTTCTATGTTCACATGATTGGTGGGGGTTTATGGTTGAGAAGATATCGTCGGTGAGATAGCTCTATTTTGATTATATAATAATATCTCCTCCATTTAATTGCTAAATTGCGAGCGCGGAGGATGTGGGTTTTCAAGAAGTAAATGGACATCCTGCGTCGTGTGAATATCTTTAACCCTCGCTGTTACCGATCACGGCGCATACTCAATATTGCTTCCCCATATTAATGCTCGTTGACAGCCTATTTAGAATAAAATAGCACTTGTCAATCTGCCGCTAGAAGTACTGGACCAGATGCCTCATCGATTGCTGTTCAAATTTCTCATTGTTAGTCCAGCTCTTCAACAGGGATTCAATCGCAGCATTGTAGAAGGTTTATTGCTGCAAGCTAATGACTTTCCACCCCCAGAACGGCACCAGCACCGTCTGCCTGGACTTGCTCTGTGGAAGTTGCAACATCTCCGACATTGATTCCAACCTCTTGACATGAGATTGCTGTCCAATAATCCAACATGATGAAAGGGACACGGGCTTGTCTGGTAAAATTTGTTGTCCCCATCAGATCTGCAATGCTTGAACGGAAATTCAGCGTTACATGCGAAAAACACAACGCTGTATTTCATTCTGCCATATTCTGAATGTGTTTGTCGTAAGATGGACGCTGGTTGCTACTTTGGCATGTACTAATATCCTACATATTTGTGAAAGTGGTCTTTCTGGTTGTATAGGAGTTAGTTGACCCGGTGTTCTAACTTGTTGCAGAGGCAACCAACGTCAGATTGGTCCTTTTTTAAGGATAATATCCACCGCCTTCCTACATCTCCTTCATAGTTGCATCAAAGTTGGCAGTAATTTATTCTCGATTGCTAAGAGTCGGAAGATATGTCAGCAGGGAAAGATCCGTCGAAGAGGATACCAGGCTTGCAATGAAGATGTTCAGTGTCGTTGAAGATTTCATTTACATTAGAATACGCAATTTGGGAATAGATCGGTAAGCTTTATTTCCTCAAAGCTGATTCTTATGTTAATTCCTATGAAATTTTACGGCTTCAGAGTTCATCAGCAGGATAGTAGAGCAAAATTCAGTTCTAAGACAATCTGAATTTGTTCACATTCTCGTAGATGGTACCAATCATCTGGGAATCCAACGACACAATCTTGGAATCTGTCCGCTTGGTGCGCAAGGTCGTCTATCGGCACTTCCGTCGTCCCAGGGGTGATAGCTGCTCCTCCATTGTCTCAGACTAACTTGAGCTTCCAAACCAGTATTATTTCAACCGCAAATACCACGAAGAAATTCTGTCTGAGCTGGCCTCTATTACACCCTGCTGGTGAAGTTCCTGAGAGCAATAGCGTTTTGAAATGTTGCAAGATTTCTCCGAAATCGCAATTCGACTCTCTACTAAACACAATTTACACAAAGAAGTAAAAGGATAACTTAGACGACCTAATGCAACAATGTATGAAATCTGAGTGACTGAATCTTGTGTAACTTTTTGCAGCAGTAAGTCCAGTTAAAGAATGCCACATAATAATTGATGGCATATCTATTTCATGAAATAAGACATTTCTTAAAGCTTATATTTATATAAATATGAATGTATGTTCGTGTGTGAGAGGTTGTGATGGAAAGTGCCTTCCATTTAATCCACAGAGCTCTACCTTGTTCTATAAGAATTAAGCACATGGGAGGGCCAAAGCATATTGACCCTCATGACCATGTGCGCTTAAAACACAGTAAATATAATAGTTCTTCAGTGATGTAGGGCGACGTAACCGAAAGGGGTCACGTCGAATTATGATGCAGATTCTTCACAGCTACGAATCACTGCATCTGTATAATTTTATTTAAATGTGCAGTCGATGGTTGGATGTCGCATTGTAGTAATATTGTAGTTTTTTTTTCCATTAGAATGGAAATTTGCCTTGAAAATGGATGGACCTTTGTAGCTGAACGTATTGTCACTGGCCATCTTCCTCAGTGACCATCTTCCTCAATGTCCATTTCAGTGGTCATGAGCTCCATTTCTCGAGGATCTAACTTGTTGTAGATCTTAAGCTGGCTTGGACGTACCCTGTCCTTCTGAATGTCTATTTCAAAACCAGGAACAGCAACACGAAGCGATGAGACCCGCCGATCATTCTCGATACCCATCGGAGTAGGATCCGAATAAAACAAGGAACGATCAGTCGGCTCTATGCAAATACCCATAGAGTTGTCCATGATCATGCCTGGAATGTGACAGTTCTCGGTTGCTTGAAGTTCTTCAAATGGCTTCAAGCGTTTCTGCAGATCATCACACCACAAAGTCAAACTGAAATCTGCGGAGTGAAACTGTTCATGTTAATTTGTCTACATATTTCATTTGCAGTAGAGTAAAGCCTAAACGTGATTAAGCTAACTAGATAATGGAGAGATAATAAACTACAACGTTCCAAACTAAAACTTGCACAGGATTACACATCTGCAGGTTGAATAAAACAGAATATCTACGGTTAATTTAGTTATTGATTATGTAAAGCTACTGTGAAGATAAGGAATGCTGAAATACATTTTTGAGGTGCTCCTCAATCGAAATATCTGTTTTCTCCCTTTTTCCCAGGGACATCGAAGTCATTTTTTGATAAAGATGTTCGGAAGGATTCTCATGTTCCTTGCCGTCGTTCACCAAAGTACTGCCTTCATGTCTCTTGCCCTTGCTGGAGCTTGGTAAAGACCTGTAAACAATGAACCACAACTCATTGGGTCAGTATGGGTCCAGGTTGGCGTATTTATGAGTGATTCAAATATTATATACTGTAGGGATTACAGATGCTGATACAATCATATCAGTAGTGATCTGATCCACAGATTTAAATTGCATCAGCATCCGTAATCGAAAAAGCATTCCTGATACGCCAGTATGGTTAACAGCTTCAGCGTTAATGTGTGCACATGCATCTAGTGGAGGCTGGTCACTGCTCGGAACTAGGACACTAAAATGCAACATTGCCGGCGGCCTAACGTAACATTAGGGTTGAATGAGTTCCGATCACGTGCAGGTTCCTGAGTCGACGATGTGTAAGGATAGATCGGCGGTGACAAAACCTGTAGCTGATAAGGCGATGTCCAATTTCAATTCTAGAAGTTAGAGTTTCCAACTGACATATATATATATATATATATATGTGTGTGTGTGTGTGTGTGTATATATGTTCATATATATGCTCTAGTCACTTGCTTCAGCAGTATTGGATAAGGCGAAAGTCGATGCTTACTTGGTGTTTGTGATGGAGTTTCCAGCAGCTAGCTTTTCTTCAACCCAGCTCGATTCATACGGACATCGCTGTCGATTGAATTCTAGATGGCCTTTCCCTTGCGGACAATTTGCACACGGTTTCTTGGCCGGGTTGGAGGTGTCAAAATTGGCATATTTACACACCGCCTGCGTTCGATTATCTGTCCTTTCATGTCCGGCTGGGTCCGGCATCCTTAAGTGATGTGAAGATACCTCTCAATTTTACTCCCGTGATCTGAAATTTAATGAACAAGTCATGAGTCTTACTTGGTAACCGAATCCTAAGGCTGCTTTGAAATCCAAATCTTAAAAGAGACCCTCCCAACTGCTCCACGCATTCTTTTTATCTTCATGTCCATACGGAGGAAGGCAGTACACAAGCGAAGATTAAAAAAGAACTCTAAGTTCAGATTGCAATTGTCAACTCACACGTCCTCAGATATTCTCTAACGGCTTCGCACTTGCTCTTCAGCTTCCAAAGGAGTGACGTTGACTCGAATTTTTCAAGCTTAGAACGATTTCACGGTCATATTCTCTGCACGCTACTTCCCAAGTCACAGGTCCATTCCCTCTTGATCCTGCACTAATAGCGTCTGGCTAGTAGAGACCACACATTCCAACCTTAAACGTTTGTGATACTTTCACCAGCCCAAAACTCTTCACCCTCGTCCGAAGATACTTCATAAGCGTACGTTTACAAGTGCAGCAGAAAATGAAGAAGACGGCATACATTCGGGGCCAAAGCATTGGATAAAACTAGCAGTCCTATATTATATCACGCAAATTTGGGATGCAAACAATCCACAAAAACGACTCAGGACGAGGTTGAACCCTCCACATGCTTGAAGAGAGTGAAAACAGAGGTGCGAACAGATACTACGGTGACCGCTGGGGCTTGTGGAGTTTCCAGCTAGATGTTGGTAAGCATCGACTCTTGGAACTCAACAACATCGGGACAAAACAGGATCAGAAGCAAAAGAGCACGAGAGAAATAGAAGTTTCAGAGGCCTGAAGACTTGTCCTCATCAAAGAGAAAAGTCAAGGACTCAGATGCTTCGAATGATAAGAACGACAAAGAAAGAAAAGAAATATTGATAGCCATTAATTATGACAGCCACTGCATCAGGTTTAGGGTCCAGAATGTAAATTTTTTAATTATAAAGTTTTCTTATTACGTTTGCATCTTTTCTCGATACAACTTACCCAAAATTACGTAAATTACAATGAATATCATATTCGCAGTGGAAGAAAGACCATCTCCCGCCATGTTCGAGTCGGCAAGTGAAGTAAATGTACTTTTTTGAGTTGAATTCTGATACTGTTGTTCCTGCCGACCAGAAAAGAGTATTTTCTGAATTCAAAGAGTGCATTTTGAAGACCATAAATTCTCCAGTAAACTCTCCATCAAAACTGAATTCATTTGTTTTTCTAGTTCGGAATTCTGACCATGTTCCAGATTTCCAAGGCACAAACTTACTTCGGTTAATCTGTCAATCAGGAAGTGTATAACGCGCGCTACTCCGACAATTTCTTTTACAGCCAATAAGCAAGAAGTTGGTGCAGACTGGCCACCGTCGACCCAGATAGAAAGATTCGCTTCATTTCCCGATAAGGATTACCTAGGGTACTGTTGAAGTGACTCTTCTACGGCTTGAAAGGACTTCACCAGAGAGTGACAGTGCCGGCTTCATCGTCTATCCTAGTCACCGTCTTCCTTTAGTCTGTTCGTGCAGAACTAAACCTGTGCCATTCAGTCATGCACCGTCCCCCTCCCCCACCCCCTCACAAACTCTCCGTCTCTCTCTCAACTTCGACCTCCACGTGCTCATCATGCCAACATTTGTGGAAAAAGAGCAAAGGTTTTGATGCAATTCAAAATATGGTTTGGCAATTTCAGATGAAGCGGCCTCTCACATGATTCTGCCCACTTCCTAGAGCTTCGTCGATTACCCGTCGCCACTCTGTGAGTCTCTATAGAGTAAATAATTTCTACCGACACACCCAAATTCTTCAAAATTGTCAGTCAGCTTCCTTCCTGCCTTCATCAAAAGCACTAATGAAGTTCTTGACATTACTTGCGGGCCATATGTAGGCAACATTAAGCTCCAGTAACATTTCATCTGGGTGTGGTTAGGGTGGAGACAAGTACGCAAGTTGATGATAGAGTGAGCGCTCAAAACTACCGTCACTTTGATGCATTACTAGTGCGCACGGATGCGGAGCAACTCAAGGGACCAACCGGAGAGTGGAGGGTTGGTAAGAATGGTGCGAATACCTCAGCCCAAAGCATTTCAGTAGCTGTTCTTTGTGTGGGGTGTCCCAAGTCTTTCTCTTGGGTAAGCGTCTTGAACAGGACCTCACGTTGACGGTGACCCTTTCTTCAAATATATCCAGTTCAAATGATTGATTCAAGCCAAGCCCAGAGCCTGTCTCGCAGACGATAGTTATTGGCATCTAAAATTGTCGGTTAGTGTTTCACACTTTTCAATGGCTAACCCAAACTAAGTGTGAGTTGTTACCACACTATCACATGATCATGCATTACCTTTCTACTGCTTCGACCTGGTTTTCAGAGCAGGCGCCACAGATTCCGCAGCTTCGTTCAATTCTGGAAGGGTTAATATCAAGCCCTGTTCAACACACAAGTTGTAATCTAGTTCATGTCCTCCAGAAAGATCTGATGTTGTATAGCGTTTAGTTCTATAACAGCAATTCCAGTACTTGCGAATCGCTAAATGAAAGATTACTGGAACTCTAGCTAGCTTTCAGTAGTATGTGATTACCACGGGAAGGGCAAAATCTTCTATCCTCTGCTTGAACTGCAACTCGACGTGGAGTACCTTATGCTTTTAAGACATGACTCGTGGAGTTGATGGGTATATTATCAAGTTTAAGCTGCCTTGAACTTAACTTAGTTATGTGTCCTTGGTGTTTGATCGCCTGCTGTAAACCCGCTGGCCATTTTGCGCCGTGGCCAGATGATGATTCTCATGTGAGATTTTCGAGCCTGAAGGTGAACCACTTGTCTTGAGAATTTAGCCTTTCTCAAGTAGTGTGAATAGACTTGTGCATGGAAGTGAGAAAATATCCTGGTTCAGATATGTTATAAAGAAAGACTTACTAATTATCTGCCAGATCTGCTGCGCAAATGAGAGCCGAACCAGGAAGTGCTATGTTGTAGGCCTTGTAATATTGATGAAGCCTTTACAGATGCTCAGTCACTGTCCAGATACTGATGCCGAAAGTCTTTGTGGCATCAAGATGATCGAAGGATCCGACGACTGCTCAAGTGTGTCAGCCTCAAACCTTGTTGCTAGTTTATCAGTGAACGCCCCCAACTGATACGATGAATTGGACAGCCATTGCATAGTTGGCCCCTCTGAGAATCAACTGATATCAATTTGCAATAGGCTTGACGTTCACTTTCTGCAGGTTGTTCAAATGATATTTGCTTCGGTCTGCAGCATCGGGTTCAAGACTGAAGTGCTGTTGCGGAGAACATGGACTGAGATCATCAACTAGAAACCTCGGCGTGGATCTCCTAATTGGGTATTGCAAGTAAGTGCTCAATACAACCTGATACAAATCATCGTGACGTACCTCAGATGGTCTCCACATCTGCATTACTCTAAGGAATTGTTTAGTCACTATCCATGTTCTGAAACAGGAGGAAATGACCTTGGCATCTCACCCTAGATTGTAGTAGAAAGAATCTTCAGTCTTTCCTCGCATGCACTTGCATCGCCTTGTCTCCCTCTTGGTCTTGACCGTGTACAAATCTTGTCGACAGTAACTCATGGCTTGCATTTGGTAGGAGTTCCTGAGGCGTCGCTTCATCAAGAGTACTTCCTTCAATGAGGTTAGTAATCAGTCCAATCCTCCCTCATTAAAGTCATCGTACATCCCTCAAAAACAACTTGTTTTCGACTATGGTGTCGTTTTATGCTTGAAGCGCAGCTCGTCCTCGCTGGCCCACCTCTAACAAGCAACACGTTCAGCGAAACTAGGAAACGGTAATAGAAAGTTCTTTATATCCACTAGGGACCATTACCTAGACTGAATGGGTAGCCCAAGTCCCAATATCAGGGGCCCAATGGCAGAGTGCAAGAAGTGCATCTGATTCGGACATTGAAGTTCGGTCTGACGTAACAATGATAGAAAACCTGCAGATCTATGATGTGGGCCTACATCGTGATACGATGACTTGTGCCGAAAGCTCCATATTGAGAAAAAAACGATTCAGCGAGGTTAGCAAATGGCAAGTGGGCAGCTGACGCGTAATTCTTACTTTTTTAAGTGACCTAAAAAGCATGTTAAATCATGTAGTGAGCTGAATCCTGTCCATGCTTGTTGAATAGTCCTAAACTGGTATCCCTATACGTCATGATTTTCAGTGTCAGTGCGCAATATTTGTGGAGGTTTCTGGTTTTTCTCGTCGTGTTCTTTTCTTTTGTCTAATTCATTCCGCCTTTTATTATGTTCTTCAAAATTTCCGATGCGTGTGAATATTCTAGTGCTGCAATATAAGCAAGTTTGTAGAGAATTAATATTTTGACTTTCAGCAATCTAATAGAAGACACACAGCTGTTGATCCTGTTTTTGTGTATCTTCAACAGATATACCAGATTCTGAGATCTGCTGTAAAAATCAACTAAATCTTCTCTCAATGCTCGGATCATTTGTAAAAGCAACTATCAGTAGCCCACGATCCACGGGCTAAAGATATATTATATTTCTTGAGATTTTTCATATTACGATGAGGTTTTATAAAACATACACCTTATCAAAATAGACAGGTAAGAGACGCATATTCTCCACAGTATCCGGTTTTACAACTCATGAAACTTCCCTCAAGATTTCTCCACAGTTGTTTCAGCTTCAAGCTGAAACCTGACGAACTGGACCAAGTGGTTGACAAACAGTAGTTACCATGAGATTGGCACCAAATCTTGTGAACTCGGTATTGGAGTAATCGTATCACGCTATCAGTAAGAATCCAGACCCATGTCATGCAATGGTGCATTGAACATTGACACTGGGACAGAGTGGCAAAAGCAGAAAAGGTTTCGGAGACTGTCAGTGATCTCGAGCAGGAATTGATCATGGCAGAATCTTGTTTAGTTTGATTTGAAGAGATCGAGGTGAAGCTTTTTCAGGTGTTCAGCGGCGTCAGAGAGTGTGGCAGTCGACAACTTTCTTTCTGTTGTTCTCATTTGACTAATTTTCCTAAGTATAAAACCAACTAAGAAAGGCTTCTCAATTTCAACCAACAACAAGATTTGAAAGTAGTGGGCTCTCTCACCTTCTCTTGTCAGCATAGAAACCCCAAAGAGTCATGTGATGGATAAGATGATACTCTTCAGATTTTGCCTGACTCTCTTTTTTTTTTCCTTCTTTTTCTTTTGTGAGGAGTTCAGGGGCCTTGGATGCTCTGGTGTTACCGCTCATAATAATAACAATAATAATAAAAACAATGCACCCATTGTGTCCAAGAATACAATGCATGTGTATCCCAATGCCATGATATTATTATTCAATGGGACACACAAGATGATGCTGAGGAGGATACCAAGCACACACTTTTTGGATAATAGAAGTCAGCGAGCCCAGTTCCTATGCCCATTAACTCTTCACGTGAGAAAAAAAAAGATACAAAATATAAAAATGTCCTCAAAAGTGGACTCCAGCTCAACTCTCGGGGGGGGGGGGGGGTGGTAAGGTGGACAAGAAAAGGTTGAATTCCAACCTGGCAATGGCAGAAAGTTAATGCAAAAGCCGGGGTCGGGGGGGGCCCCCCCCCCGGGGGAATTAAATTACATTACGATTGGGGGCGGGGCCAACAATTTTTGAAACAACGTGGGGGAGAGACTTTTCAAATGATGGGGAAAATGATGATGGGGTCCCTGCGGATTTAAGCCCCCCCCCCCCCCCCCCCTTCGCGTTCAGTTTGGATTTGAATACGCACGGACTGTCTGTCCATGTTCGTGGTGCACGAGGAGGAGAGGGAGGAAGGAGGAGGAGCTATTTTGAGGTTTCGCCGTGCCCTTCATCATTAAAAGTGGGTTATGATTATTTGAAGGATATTTCCTTTACTTGTCGACCTGAATTTTACGAATGGATTTCGGTTACTTAATGGTTTTTCGATTACCTGACAAGTTACACAGATGTATATATATTTTTAATTTGAAATGTAAAAATTAGGTCTTGATTTGATCTAGTAAAACAATTAGTAAACGAATTTGATATTTTCTAAAATATTAAAAATAAACTCATTAGTATAGAGGCGAATAAACCCAATATATAAATATATATATATAAATATATATATATATATGATTAATGGTACATTGATGTCATAGAGTGTCACTACAAGAAATCAATTCTGATCTTGGTAGATGGACCTTGTCTATGCACTAAGACATCTATGCTCTCCATACTTCTTGCAAAGCAAAGGTTGCTAAACTTTCAAGTAGGACATGCCAAGTATTACTTATTTAAAACTAGAAAAAAACTTTAAATTGTGTAATTGACATGATAAAATAAAAATAATTAAATATTTTATGTTTATTTAATTAAGAAAACTACTAAATAAAATCAACTTCTATATATATATATTTATATAAACTTTTGTAATCTATACCTATTATTAACAAATATTTTATTTCTTTTTTTGATTTTTTATCATATATCATATAAATTCAATTGTATACCAATAAATTTTATTTAAGAAATATTCAAATTATAAGACATAATTCTTAATATTAGAATCATATATATATATAGAATTATATATAATATCATATATTTTATTTATTAGGTTAAATTATCTTTTAATTCGTTATTTAAAAATAGAAATTAAACATTTCTACAAAATAAATAAACTAGGTAATGAATGATTTTTTTAAAGCCCAAATTAATATTTTCATGTAATTAAAATTTAAGTTGTTCAAAGTTATGCTCAATGACTTATGTAAAACTTATAATTATAAAAGACACTTTAAATCTATAAGTTATAGCAACAAAGCTAATATCCTTTAAAATTATTTTAAGTATTTCTTTTAGGCTTATTAGATTTATAAGAATTTATGGTTTTATCAATTACTAAATGATTAAAATCATTGTTAGTATAATTATCTTTTATAAAAAATACTCATCCAAATATTAATAATGATATATTTTTGATTAATGTACAAATAAATACTAGCTAAATTTAGAAAATACTATGTCATGAATAAGAAAGTATCATATTTATTTATTTAATCTATAAAAAAAATAAATTTATACATTATACATTCATATCTTTTATTGACCTATTTTTTAGAAATGTAACAAAAATAAAATATTACAAAATTTTCTTCAAATATAATCAAATAAAAAATACTTATTTTAATAGTAAATTTGCTTTAATATTAATAAACTATACATTTGAGATTTTCAATCAAAAAAAAATTGCATATATATAATATATATTTATGTAATTATAAATAATTATTATAATGATAATGATAATAATATTAAAATATATAATATTTTATTTTAAAAAATTCTAAAAAATTAAGTAATATTTTTAATTTTATTTATTAAAATACTAAAAATATTAGAATATATATAAAACTTAAAAATAATACAATGCTTGGTTTACAATAAAAGATGAAACCACATATATATTTTGTTTTTTTATTGATGATTACACATATTATTTATAATATAATTAAAAATAATTATGATTATTATTAAAAATATTCTAATACTTTGAAAGAAATATTATATTTATTAATTTTATTTCATTATCTTATAAGATATTTGTATATAAAATTTTTTTATGTTAATTTTATATATTTAAAAAAATAGTAATATAAAATATTAGATAAATAAAAAAATATTTATTTAATGAAAGACCATTGAATTTAGATTTCAGAAAAGTTTGACATAGTAATAGTATCATTAAATATATAATAAAATCACAAGAAATTAAATAATATATTATAGTTATTATAAATACTATAAAAATTATCTAATAATCATTAATGATGTATAATTTTAAAGAATTAAAAATTTACTTAAAAAAAGATAATAAAAAAAATCTTATGTATCAATTATAAGTCTAATTAATTTTAGTTTTATATTTAAATTTTAGAAAATTCAATAGTTCATGATTTATAACATATAATTAATAAATTTTATTTTTGAAATAATAATATAAATTTTAAAAAATCTAAATATATTAATTAAAATTTATAAAAAATAACTAACTTAAAAATTAAAAATATAAAGTTATAGAATATCTTTAATAGTTCTATTTATTAAAATTTAAGTTATAATGAATCAAAATATTAAACCAAGAACTTATTGATTTATTACTTTGATCTTTTAAAATATTGATATTTATTGAAAAAAATATTTGAATTTAAAATTTAAAATATTTATAATGATATTAATATATATTTAAAATATAATATATTTTATTACTAATTATTCTTATTAAATCTTTAAAGCTTCTTAAAATTTACCAAAAATATAACAGATACATGAAAAATTGGTTTAAACATATAAAATTATTAATGCTACATCTTCAAATGATATTGGCACATTCTAATTAACTCTTACAAGAATTGCAAAGGGGTTAAAGGAGGAGCAGCCTTTTCATCTGTCAACCAGCAAGGCCAATGAGTAGTGCCTCTACAAAGGTTTTTAGTTCATTCTTATACTCTCACTTCTTAAGTATCTTTTTCAACCATGGGCTTTGATGCAACCATAACATTATTGTTTCTTGCCATTTAAAAACAAAATTTTCTCACTATCCCATAGAAGTTCTTACTTTATATAAGATCTATTTCAATTTGACATTCTATTTTACAAGGTAAGATTTGAGTACAATTTTTTTTCTAATTTTATCTAAATTAGAAGAAAAAAAATAAAAAATTATTAAAAAACTAAAAAAAAAAAGATAATTATAATTTTTGAGATTAGAGTTTTTAAAAATAACCTCTTCTTTATAAAACCACCTAGTCCATACAAAATCCAAAAAAAAATCTTTGCAAAGATTTTATCTTTATAAATTCCAACAAGATTGCTACCTTTCAATTCTACTTATTGATTGGTCAAAAAAGCCATTGCAAAGATGGCTATTTTTTTAATATTAAAATTAATATTCATATTTTTTTTAAAATATTAGATTGATTATTTTTTAGAATTTACCTAAAAAATATTAATAAATACTTTTTATATAAATATATATCTAAAATTATTATTTAAAAATTAGATGTTAGAAACATAAAAATTTATTTTTATAATAACCTAAATATTATAAATAGATAAAATTAGATCAATTTGATAATATTTTATGGCAAAGCTTTTAAAAATCTTCATAGATATAGTTTCATATTTATATGTATTTGTAGGTGATTGAAAAGCTAGAAACTTGGCCAATAAATTAGCCATGTATTGCATGTATTGATAGCTTGTGGTATAAGCTAATATAATGGCACAAATATAGAAAACTTGCATTGCAAGTTAAGTTACGTGTCTTAAAAATTCGACATGTGTCGAAGGTCCATTAGAACATCACCACATAGCTTTTAGTTAAATAATATATATGGAGGCAAGAATGAAGCCTTTTTCACTCTTGTCAATGTCTTTTTAGTCTTTAGTCTTATTTCAAGACTTTTTAGTCTTCTTGTTGTTAACAATAGCAATTTTAATTTCAATATTATATTAGATTTAAGTAAATATTTATTCTTTTTGAGATACACAAGAGTGTATTGATTTTTTGATTCTTCAAGATTCATGTCTTCAATAGTTTGACAAGATTCCTAATTTAATGTTCTTATCTTGTTTTTAGAAGTGAGTGGATTATTCCACTTTTATTATTGTATTTTGAAGATTGTAATTATCTACCTTTAATTTAATATTTTATTTTAATAGTGATTTTTTTCTTAAAAAATAGATTTATCTTCTTTATAAAAAGTTTCATTTGATATTAATTATTATCAATTATTCACATGTAATTTGACTTATAAATTTATTTGAATTATTTATAAAAGAAAAATTTATAAATACTATTCTTGAAAGAAGTAAAAATAAATTTATAACTATTTGTTATAGACATATATATTTATTCTAATATTTACCTATGTAATTAAGTAGAAGTAGATAAAAATAGATTTATTTCATAATTTTTTTAGAAAAGCTTCTTAAAAGCTTCATAGATGCTGCTTTGACTTTACATGTATTTTTAATTGATTGATAGGTTAGAAACTTGGTCAATAAGTTAATCATGTATTGATAGCTTTCGAAATATGTTAACTATATAGCATACATATGGAAAACTTTCCTTACAAGTTAAGATATGTGTCTTGTAAAGTCAACATGTTTTGGAGGTCTTATAGAACATTGCCACATAGCTCCTAGTTAAGAGTATATATAGACGCAAGAGTAAAACCTTCTTTACTCTTGTTAATGCTTTTCTAGTCTTTAATCTTA